TGCTGGCATTGTTGTGCTAACTGGCGGTCCCTGGGATGGTGTTATAGTAGGACACTTAGTGGAAATGACATTTGGTATAGCTCCTCCCAGAGCAGGAGACACAATGGACCCCTGAGTTGGTACCTGGAGTGGAGCACGAGGACGAGTAACTAACTCGACACTAACATCTCCTGGATGGGCACCAGTTGCAACAGGTGGTGTTCCAATGTTACCACTACTCACAACAGTCATTGTAACACCTGGACGACTCCCTATGTTTGCATGAGCTGCTGGAAGTGTTGATGCCAGAAGATGTGCACTGGTACTCACAACACTCACACTGGTGCTATTACTTGAACAAATTACTGATGTTGATATTTGTGGTTTAGTATGATGATCAACATTTACTGTGGGCAGGACATGGGCAGCTGGTGGTATGCCACTATCTCCTGTGTCTGTCACATACTGACCTTCTTCACAAACTTTTACTCGAGTTACAACTCCAGTTACTGGGTCCACTAACTCTGCTTCTGACTTGCATTCCTCTATAGTAGGTGGTATAACTGATGCTGTGCTGGGTACAGGAACAGGACTTGATGTGGTGGTAGTTACACCAGTGACGACTAAAGTTGTTGGTTGTGAAGCACCCAAGACACCCTTCTCTGGTTCAATTTGAGGATCAAAGCCACGGTTATGGCCACGGGGACTTTTCCTCACTGAAGGATCATCTTCGGGTTCCCCTTCTCTTGCCTTTGAACGGCTTCGCCCTCGAGATGGTGTTGTAGGAGTGAGGGGAATGGGAGCTGTGGCTATTGACAACGTATTTACTGTTGTCAATGGTGTCTGTACTGGTGCAGAGCTTTCTAATACAATTATAGGCTGACTAGTACTATTGCTGTTACTTCCTTCTTCATTTATGTCCACAGTCAGCGGTTCATCTTCTGCAGCTTTTACACGCAATCTCTTTGATTTTCTGGTTGAGGGTACTACCGGTACTGAGGAACGATTTTCATCACTATCCACAGGTCGAACATCATCCTGCTCAGCTTTAGCTGGACTCCTCCCTGCAGCTGGTTTTGTGGCATCCTTCTTAACTTTAGCTTTGAGACCCAAATTAATGTCTTCATCTTCTGATTCATGAATGAAAGTCATAAACATCTGATGCTGTTGGTGCTGGCATGGGACGGCTGTCTTCCACCTGCGCAGCTCGCCCTCCACGGCCACGACGTCTACGCCCACTTGTTTCCTCATGATCTACCATATCAGGATGCCTACGAGCACGTTTCATACGACTGCTACGTCTGGGTTCAGGTAATGCATTATCTGTAGTTGTACCATTTGATGCCAAATCAACCACAACTGTATCTTGCTGACTCTCACTAGTACGTGCTTGTCGGCCTCGACCTCGGCCCTTGCCTCGTGTTACTCCAAGCGCGTTGTTGGTGTGGCATTACCAGAGCCATCTTCCTCTTGCACATCTGCTGTTCTTCTTCCACCTCTTCTGCCACGACCCCTTCCTCTACCTCGGATAGCAGCAGTATTACGTTCTTGTACTTTTGAACTATTTTCAGCTGTTTCATCGGATATGGGCTTTTGATCAAGACTTTGCTCTTCTGCTTGATTTTGAATCTCTGAACACACTTGCTCTAATTTAGCCTAGTCATCCTGTGGTTGCTGAGGTGTAGAGCCAGGGTCCTTGGTGGAGGATGATTGTGAAATTAGGACTGGCTGCTGTGGCAAAGAAGCTTCTTCTTTGTCAGGCTGGGAAGCATTCTCTATGTCAGGTTGTGTAGCTGTTTCACTGACAATGGTCTGAAGATTGCTAAAACATGCTCAACTGCCACTGGATTATTCTTCCAGTTTCAATTTTGACTGCTTCTGCTGTAGCTATTCTATCAACTGCAGAAATTACTTCTGATCTTTGTTTGTGTTTGTGTGAAAGATCACCAACTGTCATTGCTGGTTCCAATTTAACATTCAGATTCTTAATATCGGCTTGCAGTCTGTATCAAACATTGTTTTCTGAAAGGACAGTAGATTTCAGGGATGAAGAATCATTATGCATTATAGACAAAGTCTTCCACGTCCCAGAGGAATTTTCCTCCTTGATGGTTTTATCTATGTCCAGCTTTGTATCTATGATCTCTATTGGTTCTGTTGCAGTCCTTGGTTCAGCAGCAGGAATAGGAACAGAAGTTGGAACAGGTCCAGATATGGGTACAGGACAGAAGTAGGAGCAGGGAGAGTACTGGTCTTTGTATTTGAAGTACTTGGTTGGGATGAGCTAACTGTTTGTGGACTAGGTAACAAACTTAAATTGGATGCAGGCGAGATGACAGCTGATACAGTTGGAGACAAAGCTGTCGAGAACATGGTTGCTGTTGCAGTTGACAGAACACTTGGTGAACTACAAGTGATCACAGTAGTCACTAGTGTATTGGAATCAGAAGAGGACAATGATGTAGTAGTTGCTAGAGATGGTGAAGGATCTGAATAAGTGGGTGCTGATGTTGCAGTTGAAAAAGACTCTGAAGCAGTTTTTATCAGAGTGGATGGTTCCGACACAGACAAGGAGGATATGGTGGATATTGGTGCCGCAGTAAATGTACTTGTTGTTGGAACTGTTTTAGCAGATATTAGCGTTTTCACTGGTGCTGGTGCTGGTGCTGAAATGGGCAATGATGTAGTTGTGGAGCCTGCAGATGGACTAGAATACAGTGGAGAACTTGACAAAGTTGTAGAAGTGGGCACTGATGTTGATCCTAGAGATGAAACTGGGTCTGAATTAGATGTTGCAGTGGAGACTAATACTAAAGGTTGCTCTGGTGCAAAAGCAGGTTCCTGAGGAACTCTGGATCTTGTTTTAGCAATACGGACAGATGCAGACAATGGGATTGATGAAACTGCCGTTGTTGGTTTTGGTAAAGTTTCGAGACTGGAGATAGTTTCTGGAGAAGGAACCTTCACAGGATTTACTGCCATTATGTTTGTAGGTACTGCAACTGTTGTCTTCACAGGAAGTGGACCAATTACTGCATTTGCCGTTGTATTTGTTGATACTGGAGCCAATGTGGTACTTGATATCAATGCTGTAGTGGGAATTGCTCCTACAGGTTTTTGCAATGTCTGAGTAAAGACAGCTGTGGAAACAGTACTTGTAGCTGTGGTGGGAATGGTAGATGATATTTTTGAAGACACTACTGTTGATGTTGCAGAGGTACTTAAAGCAGAACTTAGAGAAACAACTGTAGAAGATACAGTTGTTGTGGGCACTATTGTACAAGCTGTTCTAGGTTTAGACTCAGTTGTTGTTGTAGCAACTGATGAGGGGATAGATACTGTAGATGAGGGGATAGATACTGTAGTAGTTCTTGATGTCAATGGTTGCATAGGACCTGAGGAAACTGGAGAATGTAACGTTGTTGGTAAAACCACAGATGAAGGGGTGGTAGCAGTAGTAGAGGTTGGCGCTACAGTCGAGATGCTTTGCAAAGTACTTGGTACATTTGTAGAGTGAAGTACTGAAGTTGTCGGAATGGTGCTTGCTGGAGTAATCACATCTGGCTGGATTGTTTTGGGAGTACAGATTTCTGATTTGTCTGGTTCAGCATTAGGCTGCACACTCACAGGACTCTTTGGTCTCTTTGCCTTGGACTGAACAGATCCTGAATTTGCTGAGGTTGTAAGAGGACTCAGTGACACATCTGAGGATTTTTGTAGGGTTTCAGCCATTTCACTAGTGGAATCAAGACAATCCTTGAGTGTTGCAGAAGATTTTATGGATTCTGGTGTTTTGGGAGCATCTTCAATTACAGATTGTGACTGATTTGATTTAGTTATTGTCTCATGAGGTAAGCCATCCTTTTCTTCATCAAATATGAACTTCACCTTCTCATCGCTGGCCTGTGAGGAATTCTTAATTTCTTCCTTTCTTTCTTGTACAACTTTTTCCTGTTTGAATGCAGATTCCTTGTGATCATCTCCTTCAGTTATCAACTTAGCTGATGTTTCCTGTGGTTTGCTAGTCTTTTCCACTGATTCTGTCCAGGTAGTATCATGGCCTGATGGACATGATTCTTTCTGTTCTGGAGGTGCAGGTGGACCTTCCATATCATCCACTGGATCTGGCTGGTCTTCATCAATTTGTAGTTCTGGCTCTGACTGCATTGACGCTGGACTATCAGGGGGCGCTTGAGGAAATCTTGACTCCACATTATCTGGTTCCTCCTCCTCTTCCTCTTCTTGTGTTGGTACTGGCTGAGTTTCACTTTCCCCAGAAACTTTTGTTGAAGCTGTAGGTGTACTATGGGGAGTCTGTTGGGGCCATGCATCATCTCTTTCACCTGGCATCTCACACTGTAACATCTGTGCTGCTTTTTGTGCTTCTTCAAATGCATCTTCTGCAGCCACAGAAGCATCTGGTGGCATCAATGTTTCCTCATCAGTGGGCTGTACACTGGCATCTTCGCTGTAGTCATCATAACAAGCGAGAAGTCCAGCAACAGCATTCAAAGTTTCCTCCTGAGAAATAACTGCTCTCGAAGCCTTAGCACTGCCATTCCCATTATTTCCAGCAGTGACATCTACAGAATTTTCTGGCGCACTAAGATTAGAGGCTTCGGTAATATCTTCAAATATGGGTTCATGTCCTGCAGGAGATGATGGAGGGACATGAGATGCAAGACTCTGCACAGCAGATTCTGCTGCATCTGGAGGAAGGGTAGATAGAGGATGAGGGCTTCTGCTGTCCTTTACTTCTAATAATTCTTTACTGTCACGTGACCCAACAGAATCTTGTGAATCACATGATAAGGTTCGTGTGGATGGACTTTTCATAGAGATTGCTTCAGGAGGACTATGTGGTGCATGAGTTGAGTTACAAACTGACCCAGCTGGTGGTGCAACAACCCTTGGGCTATGTGGCATGTTGGGAGTTTGTGTTGGTCGAGGTAATTTTTCCTTAGGGCTTAGCATGCTTGATGATGATGCACTATTAGGACTTTGTGGAGATGCTGTATCAATCAACAACATGGTGAATGTTCAATGTTATGACGATCACTTTGCTGATCTCCAGCATACTGTTCCTCACTAGTGTGTCGATGGTGACGCCTTCCACGGCTGCCTTCCTTCTCCCTATGCTTCTTCTTCTTCTTCTTGTCCTTTCTGGTATCTCTTTCACCTGCATCTTCATCAGTAAACCGAAATACATCTACAGGAGCACTGGCTTCTGAATCATGAGATTCATTTTCCTCTTTAATCACTTCTGTGATTGGGAGAAGCTCAGACTGAACAACTTCCTCTGCAGAGCTGCTACTATTTGCACTACTATTGGTGCTCATAGTATTGCTGGTACTTGTACTGCTACTGCTGCTACCTTTGCCAGAATCTGAAACAGGTCTAACCATCTCTGGAGGAGGAAGAGAGTCACGCTTTAATCGCTCTTTCTTCACACTTCTTCTTCCTCATTTCTGTACTCTGACTTTAGTTTAGTGTCAATCTTATTCTCAGTTTTCTGCTCTATCCATGAACTATCCTGTTGAATTGACTTAGTGGAGACATGCCCAGGTCTTGCAGGATTTGAAACGGGTGACATTTGAGTATCATCAGAATCAGTGTCATATACCTACACACAGATAATCTGGTTGGTGCTGGAGATAGTGATGGAGGAGCAGTGGAGGCACCTGAAGAAGCCGATCCTTTTCGCCTTGCCGTAGCTGAAGCAGGTCTTGGTCTTGGTGTTGGGGGTGTTGGATCAGAATCATCTGATATGAGACCAAAGATGGCTTCCATTCGTTCATCCTTTTTTGAGGGACTTTTTCCCTTACAATACCAGTGTCACCTGTTCGTTTTCGTTCTCGCTCTGTGGTTGTGTAATAGGTTTTTCTGGCCTTACTTCAACTGGATCTGCCTTTGCTTTTGGTCTGACAGACCTTGAATCTTCTGATGGTACTGCACCATCGCTGTCTTCTGATGTGCTTATAAGTTCTTTGCTCACACAAGGCTTTGTCTTTTCTCTGTTCCGGCCAACCTTTCTTTCTTTGTCACGTGCTTTCACTCTTGCTGATGGTTTTGGTGGCTTAGCATGAGATGGAACATCTGAAACTTCACTGTCTGATTCTATCTCCCTTAGTGGCTTACTAGGTATTCTAGTGTCACTTCACCTTCTGTATCAGAATCTGTGTAAATATGATCACCACGACTTCTGATTGCATCAGAAGGTTCAGTATTGTCTGAAATTCTATTTGGTCTTCCAGATGGAAATCTGGGCATATTAACAACAACTTCTTCATCTGTAGTGACATCTGAGACTATCATATTCTTAACTTTATGTTTCTGTTCCTTCTTGTTACCAAGCACTGCTGCGATCTTCTTCTTATCTTGACGAAGACAAATATCATCATCTGTTTCATCAGTGGATAACTGTGTTGGACGTCGCTTACGAAATGGATCATCATCAGAACTTGTATGCTGATTATGTACACGTTTCTGGCCACGCATATTCTCTTCCTCCTCCTCCTCCTCAGAGTCTGATATGTCTGAATGCATTGGATGTACTGCCTTCTTCTCCTTCCTTGCACGCTGATGTTGTCGGTACTTCTGCATCTGCATCTGTTTAAGTTCTTGCTGTCTTCGATCTTCCTCTTGTTTCTGCTGGACTTTTAGCCGCCTTGCTTTAACTTTGTCATACATGTCAAACATACCGTCATCAGCAGGAATGTCAAATATTGAATGCTTTTTGGGAACAACCTCTTCTCCCTCTTCCACCACACACCTGAACCAGTCAAACTATCTGCAGTATCACTCTCTGGGTCAAATATGGACTTTGGTTTTACATTATGTTTGTTTTTCATACCAGATGTAACTCCTGGTCTTATTTGCTGTTGGGGTAGTTTACTACTTGTACTATTTCGTCTAGACATATTTTCACCTTTATGTCTCGTTACTTCATCTTCTGAGGTTGCAATGTCACTAATTTGTGTATCTGGTTCAACCGAATCTGTACGAACTTGATCTTTGCAGGTTGTGATGGAACAGTTTTGTTGCGGCTCGACGACACCTTTAATTTTGTTTCTCCATCACTCTTATCACTTTTGCCTGAGTCATGCTTCCTTCTTCGGTTGTCACGTGACCTCCTCTCATCAAGCTCTCCTCGGGACTCTGATTTATCCAAACGATGAACTGATTCATCCATTTGTGGTAAAACAACATCATGATTAGTTAGTGTTGTGTCATCACTACTAGAATAGTGAGCAGAAACCAGTTTGTTTGATTCTGTAACTTCTTCCTCATCAGTGTCCAGAGGCCGGACTTCCGGGACTTATGCTTCATGTCAACTGTCTCTGAAGCATCGTATGCTCTGTGGTGGTGTCTGCTTGAGGTTTCGTGTCTCAAATCTTTTCTCTTATCCATGTGACGATGTTCACTGTTGTGCCGCCCATCACGCTTATTATCAATTCTTTCATTAGTATCCCTGTGATTCATGCGCCCACTGCGTTCCTTCTCTCGCTCTCGTGAACGATCATTCACTCTAACTTTGTCTCTGTCCTTCTCCCTGTCCCGCTCTTTTTCTAACACTTTTTCTCTGTCCTTTTCTGCTGATTTTTCCTTTTCTTTTTCAAGAGCTTTTTCTTTTTCTAACATCTTTTCTCTCTCCTTCTCTAGTGCCTTTTCTCTCTCTTTTCCATATTTTTTCTCTCTCCTTTTCTTGGGCTTTTTCCCTTTCTTTCTCTAAGATCTTCTCCCTCTCTTTTTCTCGCTCCTTTTCTAAGATCTTCTCTCTTTCTCTTTCTCTTTCTAATGCCTTTTCCCTCTCTCTTTCAAGAGCCTTTTCCCGTTCTCTTTCCAAGGCTTTCTCCCGCTCTCTTTCTAATGCCTTTTCTCTCTCCCTTTCTATAGCCTTCTCTCTTTCCCTTTCTGCTGCTTTTTCTCTTTCTCTTTCTCTCTCCTTCTCTCTTTCCTTCTCCAGAGCCTTTTCTCTCTCTTTCTCAAGAGCTCTTTCTCGCTCTTTTTCTAAGGCTCTCTCTTTCTCCTTCTCCACAGCCTTTTCTCTTTCTTTTTCCAAAACTCTTTCTCTTTCTTTTTCAGCCATCTTCTCTTTCTCTTTTTCTAATGCTTTTTCCCTTTCTTTTTCTAATGCCTTTTCTCTTTCTTTCTCAGAGACTCTCTCCCTTTTTTCTATGGTCTTTTCTCTTTCTCTCTCAACAGTTTTCTCTCTCTCTCTGTCCACATTCTTGTCTTTGTCTTTGTCTGTCACCTTTTCTTTTTCGCGTTCTTTTTCTTTTTCTCTCTCTTTATCTTTAGTTCTCTCTCTTTCCACCTCTTTATCATGTCTGGAGAATGTGGAACTTTTAAGACGTTCTTTGTCTTTGGATTTTTCCTTCCTTTCTTTATGTTTCTGGTCCCTTGTTTCAACTCTCTTGTCTTCACCATGCCTCCGCTTCTCACCTTCACTCTTGATTCTCTCCTCACGAATATTTTCTTTTCTTTCTTCCTTCTTATCTTCTTTTCTTTCTTCTTTCTTCTCATCATATTTTTCTTCTTTCTTCTCTTCACGTTTTTCCTCTTTCTTTTCCTCCTTCTTCTCCTCCCTTCTTTCTTCTTTTCTTTCATCGGTTCTCCTATCACTGACCTTTTCTGAACTCTTAGTATCCACCTTGATGTCATGAAACTTTTCCCGTGGTATTTTTTCTGGGGGTCTTTCTTCGTACTTTTCTTTCCGCCTGTCTTTCTTTTCTTCCTTCTTGTGGCTTTCCTCTTTTCTCTCCTCTGATCTATTTTCATGAGTCTTTCTCTTTTGTTTTGTTTCTGATCCATCAAATGTGCGATTGTTCAACTTTTCATCATGCCCTTCCCTCACTTCTTCCCTTCTACCACTTCTGTTTCTCTTTCTCTTTCACTCTTTTTACCATCCCTTGCATCCCGAGAATCTCTCCTATCTTTGGTGATTTTCTCACGTAAGACTTTTTCATCCTCACCTTCATACTTGACACGTTTAGCATCAGGCTCAACACCTTTGCAGTCTAACTTATTTCGAGTTTCTGCATCAACACTGCTATGTCTTCGTTTGTGGTTATTAGTTACCTCCTTATTCACTGCTCACCCTTTATCACCTCCACTTTCACATTTTCAACCTTGATAGGTTCCAACTTTATAGTCTCAGATTTTAACGGTTCTAACTTCACTGTTTCAGTCTTCACTGTCTCTACCTTCACAGACTCTGTTTTAAAGTTAGGTACCTGTGCTTTAACCTGATCTGTTGCAAGCGATTCAATAGTGTCCATATTATCACTATCTTCCCTAGTACAATCTTTGGCTTTAGCTTCATCTAATCTGGGTTCTCCACTCTTAATTCTCTGTATAATAGGATCCACAGTCTCTTCCACACAAGGCTCTTCCTTTACTAACAGTGGGAGTGCATGACTGCCACTCCTCTCAGGTACATTGTAAGGAGCAGAATCTCCTGAAAGTGACCGTGAAACAGCACTGGGCACCGGTTGTAAGAGGCTGGTAGTAGTTGTTAATACAGACTTGCTGCAGGAGACTGTCTGTGTGACTGACACTACACCTGTAACACGAGTATCAGCAACAACAGTAACTACTCCACTTGAACTGCCATCCCCTAACTCCTCACCTTCATTGCCTGTGCTGACTGGTAACTCTAAACGCACTGTGCGTGGTGGTACAGAGGTACGTCTAAGAGGAGTGGCAGCTGAGGTAGTACTTGTGGTGGTGGCAATGGAAGAGGTGGTGGTGAGGGGTGGTGCAGGACTTACAGGCGTAACTGGAGATAAGTGCGGTGGATGGGCAGGACTTACTCCAGGGCTGACACCGGGGCTAAAGCCAGGGCTTGAGGCAGGTGGTCTTACTGCCTGAGAAACCGCAGGTCTATGCAACGGTGACAATCCCTGAGATTTACTGACCTGCGGCACAGAAACACACACCCTAGGAACTTGAGAAGGACTTGAAGTAAGAGGTTGTTGAGATTGTTGACTGGAAAGTCTGACACCTGGCAGGCTACTTATAGGTGTTGCAGAGGCACTGCTGGTGGGTGGTGGGCAGGCGAGGGACCTGCACACTCACAACAGGTGGGCTTGGTAACAGACTTCCAACCCTACTGGTGCGTGGGGTTGCAGTGAAGGGTTTGGGTTCATATTTATCACCAACATTTTCCAACCGCTTGCTGTCCTCATCAAAGACTGATCTCTTTGAGAGCAGGACTTCACAATATCGGACGGCTGTGACCGCAACTCATCAAGATCAAGTATACGTGGCAATCTTGCATTTTTCCCACCACTACCACCTGAACTACTTCCACTGTCATTTACAGCTTCATTTACAGGTGCTGATAAATTGTTCCCCACCACCCTTGAAGACCCAGACCATTTTTCATATTTCTCATCTAAAGCACGAATTCTCTGCTCCAGATCTATAGAAGGGCTACACGGAGAATGTGGAGATTCCTCCGAGTCTGAGGGACTGTCTCTTGGTCCTGGTGACATCGGAGTGTCCAGAACAACACCACCCACTTCACGAACATCACTTCGAACTGCACTGTTCCCGCCACTAAAAGGAGGTGAACGCAACATGTTTGCACCTTTTGGTGATGTTGATGCTGCACG